ATGCTAGGTTTCGACTTACGGTTTGTGTAGCGTTGTGATTTAGCGCTTAAAAAACATTTGCCGATATCTTCTAAACCGTTAGTCCGATCGAGACGAAACCACCGTCAGAAAATTGGAAACATAGGTCGATAGCTATACGCCAATGCCCAAATGCCAAAATATTGATAGTAAGGGGTCGTAAAATTCAATCAAAGTCACGTAGCGGTCATTTTTTACGTGTTTTTTCACATAAATGTCTATAACTCTGAAGTTAATCGAGATATCTTCACCAAAATTGACACACAGATGTAGGGGCTTACTCTGAGGACACATTAAAAAAATTGTGGGATTTTGCCTCTTGGTGGCGCTATAATAGAACAAAACATGAAAATCCCATTGATTTCAATGCAGTTTTGTGATGTGAAATGCTATACTTAATGAACACATTGCTGTAACATTACGAAACTCAGAATTTGTTACCAGCACCTTGCCTTGAAGGTACTCAAAAGATTTCAAGACAGCGCCACCTGTTGGTCAAAAGTTAAAATTACATTTCCAAAAATGCTAATAACTTTTTTAAAAATGTGCTTATTGTAATGACACTGGTCTTAATAGATTCCTTGGGTCATGCCGAGAACATAGATACCAAGTTTGACGTATTTGGACGAACTTCCTGTCCGCCATCTTTATTTACTTTCAGAACCTTCTTTTTCGAACTTCTCCTAGACCATTCGTCCGATTTTCACCAAAATCGAATCGTGTCATCTCCATACCGTGCCGACTAAAAGTTATGGATTTCGTGACGATAGAGGAAACCGTTTTCGTATACCGCAGCAGCAAAGTTGAGGCATGCTGCCAAAATGACACTAAACTTTGTATGTGTCATTGTCACCTCACTCTGACCACATCACATCGATTTCGTAACTGCGCCACCTATTGGTCGAAAGTGATAATCCATTAAATCATCTTAAAAGTTACTGTATATATGATTTTTTAGCCATTTGCCCAAAATTATCTTAAAATGTCTTTAATTGCTCCTTGCTGCAATTGGTCTGCCACTCCCACCCATGAGGGCATCTGTTGCCGCTTCTTGCGCTTGGCCCCGGTAATGGCTGCTTGCAGCTATATTTATTATTCTTCTTCTTCTTCTTCTTCTTCTTCTTCTTCCGACTGGGCGTCTATGGCAGCCCATAGAACCGTATCCGGGAAAGTTGTTCCGGTTTGACATTCTGATAGAGGACAGTCCCAACAGTAATTGCACCAATTTTGGTGTCTCTAACTCATTGCCTCTAGCGCCACCACCTGTCCAAAATTTCAAAATCATTATGCTAATAACTTTTGAACTGTAAGGCCTATCAACAAAATTCTTTTTTCCTCTGATTCGTGAGCTCATGACGATTCGATCCCACCCTATGACGTCATTTTCCGTCATAAAAATATGGCCGCCATTTTGAATTGTTTAAAAACCTACTTTTGCGAACTCGTCCTAGACGGTTTGTCCGATTCTCACCAAAATAGCACCAGATCATCCCCAGGCAGTGCCGACAAAAAGTTATGGAATTCAAGTTGATTCGCTTAACGGTTTTCGATAAACGCGCAAATTAATTTTACGTAGCGCTTGCGAAAACAGACGTAAGGCTGTATCTCCGCAACGCTTAATCGTATTCAGACCAAACTTGGTACATGTCATCACAAGCATGACCTGAGGCTACATGCTGCGTTTCGGCGCAGCGCCACCTACTGGTCCGGAGATATGAAAAACGGCTATTTTCGCTCATATAACTTCTGAACGGTTTGTCCAAAAATCATAAAAGTGGTCTCTTTAGATTCAGGGCATCATGCCGAGTCGACTGATATCCAATTTTCCCAGATCGGCCATTTTGGCTGTCGGCCATTTTGAATTATGTGCTAAAATGCTGTATTTTTTGAACGCATGAACGAATTGTTACGAAACTCGGTATGGGTCATCGGTACGATGCCCCGAAGGAGCCTGAGAAGTTTCGAAACAGCGCCACCTAGTGGTAAATTTTATTTTTCAAATGCTTATAACTCTGGCTGTGGTTGACTTATTTTCACGGGAGTCATCTCGTTGAGGTCCTGAATCCTTGCCGAGTCCACAGATACCAAACATGCTAGGTTTCGACTTACGGTTTGTGTAGCGTTGTGATTTAGCGCTTAAAAAACATTTGCCGATATCTTCGAAACCGCTAGTCCGATCGAGACGAAACCACCGTCAGAAGTTTGGAAACATAGGTCGATAGCCATACGCCAATGCCCCAATGCCAAAGTATTGATAGTAAGGGGTCGTAAAATTCAATCAAAGTCACGTGTCAGTCATTTTTTACGTGTTTTTTCACATAAATGTCTATAACTCTGAAGTGAATTGAGATATCTTCACCAAAATTGACACACAGATGTAGGGGCTCACTCTGAGGACACATGAAAAAAATTGTAGGACTGAGCCTCTTGGTGGCGCTATAATGGAATAAAACATGAAAATCCCATTGATTTCAATGCAGTTTTGTGATGAGAAATGCTATACTTAATGAGCACATTGCTGTAACATTACGAAACTCAGAATTTGTTACCAGCACCTTGCCTTGTAGGTACTCAAAAGATTTCGAGACAGCGCCACCTGTTGGTCAAAAGTTAAAATTAAAATTCCAAAAATGCTAATACCTTTTGAAAAAATATGCTTATTGTAATGACACTGGTCTTAACAGACTCCTTGGGTCATGCCGAGAACATAGATACCAAGTTTGACGTATTTGGACGAACTTCCTGTCCGCCATCTTTATTTACTTTCAAAACCTTCTTTTTCGAACTTCTCCTAAACCATTCGTCCGATTTTCACCAAGATCGAATCATATCATCTCCAGACCATGCCGACTAAAAGTTATGGATTTCGTGACGATAGACGTAACCGTTTTCGTATACCGCAGCAGCAAAGTTGAGGCATGCTGCCAAAATGACTATTAAGTCTTTATCTCTGCAATGCCTTGACATTTTGACACCAAACTTTGTATGTGTCATTGCCACCTCACTCTGACCACACCACATACATTTCGTAACTGCGCCACCTATTGGTCGAAAGTGATAAACCATTAAATAATTTTATAAGTTACTGTATATATCATGTTTAAGCCATTTTCCCTAAATTAATTTTTAAATGTCTTTAATTGCTCATTGCTGCAGTTGGTCTGAAACTCCCAGCCATGTTGGCATGTCTTGTCGTCTGCTTTTGCGCTTGGCCCCGGTAATGGCTGCTTGCAGCTATATTTGTTAAATGTTATTGTTGGTACATTTTACCACGTGGAGTGTGCAATCAAAGAAACAACATCAACAACAACAAAAAAACAACAACATAATTTTAAATAATGTGAGACTTGTTTCGAAAGACCTGTTTGAAAGCTGTTGACTCTTGTTTGAAAGCTGTTGGCTCTTGTCTGACGCAGTTAGAGTGCCTGAGAAAAAAGTGTTGTCCCGATTATCTGCAGTCAGATGAGTTTGTTTGTTTGTTTGTTTGTTTGTTTGTTTGTTTCTTTCTTTCTTTCTTTCTTTCTTTCTTTCTTTCTTTCTTTCAAAAAAGGCGGCACCACCTTAAATTAATCTCCTGGGGCCAGTTGTTCAAAAGTAATCTGATATGATTTTGGGATCGGATTGGATCAAATCCTAAAAATGGGTTGTTCAAAAGAAAAAAAAAAGGATTGAAAAAGATGAACCAGTCAAAAGTTATTTGTTATTTGCGAACGCAAAGTTTCTCGGGTGAACGCAACACTAAACTTTTCTGAGGGAACGCAAAAACAGTGAAATATATATATTTTTCCACCATCTTTCCATCACCGTGTCCCTTTGGGGGCTCCGAAAAGCACTAGTAATCCAAATTTGGTAATTTGAAAAAGTGTGTATCAGGATCAGAGTGATCCAATCTAATTTTGATTTGAAAAACTGGCGCAAAAGTAAGATGGATCACCTGATCCTGGATAGCAAAACATAGGATTTTCCAAATCCAGATCATTCTGATCATTCTGGGCCTGGTTAACTACATTATGGGGACAAAATGCCCCCACAAAAATGGCAATATCCAAAGTCCTTGTCCTTGTGGGGACATTTTTTGGTCCCCATGAGGAAAACAGCTTATAAATCATACTAAATTATATATTTTTTGAAAATGTAAAAATGTAGGCCCTACACTGATGGGTAGGGTTAGGGGATAGAATACAAGTTTGCACCGTATAAAAATATTTATGTCTATGGAGAGTCCCCATGAAACATGAAATCACAACGTGTTGGTGTGTGTGTAAAATAAAGCTCCTATTAAATGAGCTTTTCCACTGCATTATATGGCTCACTTTGGCGCTTTTCCACTGCTTGGGACGACTCGGTACGGCTCATTAAATAGTACCACCTCGGTTGAGGTTCCAAGCCAGCCTTAGCTTACCGATAAAATGTGACATGTAAACACTGCAGATCACTGATTGGTCAGAGTGAATCGTCACTAACAGCGTCATTGGATTTGCAACAGGAGACACCAAACCCGAACAAACAAACTGACTTCTTCCTCTTGCAGTGAAAAACATCCACATGCTGAGAATCAAGAACACCATTCAATTGATATGCTCCATTGCTTCTGTGTTGTGCGTTTGTTTATGTCGCGTTTACGTCACGGCAGTAGAAGCGGCACAACTATAACAATCAGTCTGTAATCCCATAATTTGAAGCGGTACTAAACTGCAATGGAAAAGCAAACCTAGCCGAGCCGTGCCGTACCGTACCATGCAGTGGAAAAGTGCCATAACTTACAGGGTTAGTTAAGTTTTTTGCGTTTTATGCATGTCTGTGTGGAGATGTATGAAAGATTCGAGGCTGGGTGTAGAGAGGTCAGTGCTAAGATGTCAAGCCTAGTTTGAGTAATTATGAATGAGTTCATATAAAGCAGTGGGTGAAATTGAATGAGGCAGAAGTTAAAAAGGAGTGTCTGTGTATTTCCTCTCTCACAGAGTTTCCTTTTTTCCTCTAAGGTTCTGTATGCAGAAGAGTGCAAAGCTGGTGCCAGGAGTGACCTTGGACTTGATTGAGAAGTAGGTTTTTTATTTATTTATTTATTTTTTTGGCTGCCTGTCTAGACTTTTTCGTCTCTCTTTTCAGTTTTCTTTTTGTATTTTCTGTTCTCCATTCTTTTGTTCTCTGCCTTTTTTTCTTTCTTTTTCTTTTTCTTTTTTCTTTTTACTTCTGGTTAAATAAAAAAATAATCACTAGGAAATTATCTTTGTGAGTGCAATCACAATTATTTTAAAGGTCCCCTGACATGAAATTTTCACTTTCTGAGGTTTTTTAACATTAATATGAGTTCCCCTAGCCTGTATATGGTCCCCCAGTGGCTAGAAATTTCAATCGGTGTAAACCGAGCTTTGGCTATCTTTCTCTGCCTTTGAGAAAATGAAAGCTCAGACGGGCTGATCTTGAATCTCCTTCGTATGACGTCATACGGAGAAAAGGTAACCTCCCCTTTCTCTGCTTTGCCCGCCCAGAGAATTTGGCTCACCATGAGAAAATGAGCTAGGAATTACGAAGGCGCGAGCACGATTTGAGTTTTTCCTCGAGAGATATCATGGCTTGCAAACGAGCGAAGCATGGCAGTTGATCAGTGTTCGGATGTACAAATGAACACAAAAGTATTTTTTAGTTCCTTCATCCGAGCCTCTGAAGAAACAATGGGTTAATTTTATTTTCTCTGGAAATGCGCCGACACAACTTCCCAAGTTTTGTATGGTCCAAACATTTCACCGACGACTGTTTCCTCAACTTGGGCCAATACAGAGCTGGCCTCGATGAACGTCTGAAAATAAATCGATCAGCTACCAAGCAACAATTTCTGATGTGTAGCCTAATTGTTCAAGTTCAGACAGGTAATCTTTCTCTCAAAATCGTTCAATACTGTTTATGCATAAGTCAAGCCAGTGACTAAAATATCAACTTCACATCGTTTCTTTTAGTAGGATGAAAAATAATCTTATTTAAATTGTGAACAAATTATACAGAAAGCAATCAAAGAACAATCTGTCCACACAGCGCGAGTTTATCTGGACAACTCGTTATGAAATCAATGACGCACGTTACTCTGCACAACGAAGCTCTTACTGTAAGTACATCATCGTGTTTGCATTGGTGAAAGCATTAGAGAGAGTGCAGAAACTGCGTTGCAATGATAAGATCTTCATTCTTGCGATCAACAGACTGTCATCTGCTTGCTCAATGCTCATCACGGCAACATTTTATGTGATGGGAATAGATCTAAATACTTTAAAAACTTCTCACGATTCGTTAATCTCGATAGCTGTAATAGTAAAAACGTATAATAGCTGTAGTAAAAGTATTTGAGAGAGTTTCACATGTAATATGCAAGCATGTCAGCCAATCACAGCAGTGGCCGGTTACACTGAATCCCACAGCAGACACGCCCCTTCAAACAGAGCGTTCAAATCAGAGGCTAAAATCAGGCTAGGAAAAATGCCTTTTATTTCTAAATTATGACTATTTTTGATCTAAAAAACATACTAACATTATAAGGGCAACCCAGGAAACATTATAAAATAATAAAATAACCCCATGTCAGGGGACCTTTAAATAATTTTTATCCAGTAATCATGCATAGCTGAAAAAAGCCATGAAAATCTTATGCATTTATGTTATTATGAATTCCATGCAGTTCTATCATGTGCCCGTGGTTGCACTGAAACAAATCAATTTATGCTTGTTTTAATCCTAATTTGTTTTGTCTCGTCGACTTGTTGGTTCTTCTCATGAATTCTATGATTCTCTAGCTGCAAACACTTTACAGTTATCTTCAAATAAACAAACTAATTAGCTCTGTTGAAACTATTTAGAAATGGTATTTCGATTTATTTATAAAAGACTAAAGAAAACTAAATTGTTCTAAACAGAACTTTTTCAGTGATCTGAAGTTGACCTTTGCAACCTTTAAGTTCATGTTTGAACTTTTTCCTGTATAAGAGCCCTGGGACCCCTGAGGCATGATGGGATTGGATGGAGGAAGAGAGGCAGATCTTTGAGCATTCTGCAGATGAAAAGCTCTTGATGAGATCATGACAGCTCTAACCCCTCTGCTTCCTCTTTCTCCATTTCATCTGTAAACTGAAATAAGCTTACAATCTCTGTCAGAGATCGGCAATTTTTCCCACCACAACCAGAGTTAAGACAATGAAAAACATGTTAACGTACAAATAAAAAAAATGAACATTTATGTCAAGCGCATGTTTGATAACAAATCTGACGCATGTGCATGTTGTCGTCCTAGGACAGACTTCCTCTCACACAGGACAAGGTTTTTTTTTTTTTTTTTGATCCACACTTTCTTTCCATAGGGTCTAATGCTAATTATTTCCAAAGATTGCATAATAACAGCACTCTTCACAGTCTGGTGTTCGGTTTCCTGTGTGGTTTATAATGGCAGCCTTATATTATCCTGTTATTTATCTGTATGCAAAGTGTCTTCAAAACTTTTTTAAAGGTTTTACACAATAGTATATGCATCCTTGTTAAGAATGCTCTTGTAATTATTATGTAATCACATTTTGTCTATTAGTATCTTAACTACTTAGTGATGTCTTAGTCAGCTTCCCTCTGCTTAGCACATGAAAGGACTTTGTTGTGAATAATAGAAACAGATAATGAAACTCATCACAGCGATGCCATCACATTGGTGCAGCTTTGAGGTCTCAAATGCACTTTTTTTTTTTTATGGATATAGTTGGTTTGCTTAGTTTTAAAGGATAGAGCCTGAGGCTGTCCTTGTGCTTTGGATAACTTGAAATGATTGAGTTGGAGTAGTAAACTCTATCATATTATTTGTTTATTTATTTTTGTGACCGACACAGATTAAATTTCCGGGTTGAACATACATTATTACTTGTATTACTTTTCAGCTGGAAATTAATTTATGTTCCCTTGCTTGGCTTCCTGTTCACACCACTTTTCTGATACTCAAAAGCATCCCACATTTACATGCAAAACTTAATTCTGGTTGATTACTCTTGTGTGACATCACAGGAGGAGAGACATTAATGGCCCACACAGTTATCTGAGGACAGATTTAATTAAAGTAACAACAGGGAACTTTTGCTGTCGGGGTGGGGTCCCCCTACAGTTGGGAAACAGTATTGTCCTCTAGACCTCTACTACTGTCGTAAACTCTGTCATCCTACATGCACGTGCATTTGTTGACAACCATGATAGCCCTGAACACTGTAGGAGGAGGTCACATGCAGGTGTTCTGCTTGCGTCGCGTGTGAAATGTCTTCATCCCAGGTACAGTGGCATATATTTCAGCATCTCATATGAATATAATTTCATGGGTTTTATTTTTTTCTAACAACAAATGATCGCGATGATCACGTTTACAAGCCAGCGTCATTATAGTAGCCTAGTCTATTGGTTACCGTTTTACTGAATCTATATGATACTTCAATGCAATGTTTGAGTGGTTGATAATAACCATATATCGTCAATATTATAATATCAAGCTACCATAAATGAATCTGCAAATTTTACAAATCGATTTGCATTATAGCTTGAGGCAAGACAAATAAACAAATATCACAGACATGTTAGGTATCCTAAAATATGATTTTGTACAACTTATATTTACTTGCAAGAATGTAGCCCCGACCAAACTTGTGCACGCCGTTTAGACACAGGCTTTCGTTAGATTTTTTTTTTTTTTTTCAAGTCCGCATCGGTCGGGCACCCCTCCTCCTCCTTCAGCTCACGCCAGCGAGAAAATGCTGGCCCAACGTTGATCCTCGTTCTGCCTTTAACGCGATCACTTTCTCTTTTTCTCTTTTTGCTTTGCTCCGATAAAACCTTTGCTTTCTTGTTTTTCTGTGCTGCTTCGGCCATGACTATAACATTTGGCTCGCACGTCCGATTTTAAGGAAGTGGGGGTGGTGGTGGAAGTGACGTATATGCCGTAAAGCAGTCGAATTTTGTAGTTCTCTTTGTTCGCCGGTTACTACCCGAAACCCGAAGTTTAAAAGTACGATTAAAAACGCTACAGACCCCGTCAGGCTATGGCAGACGTGTCATTCAACCTATTGTAAGTCGATGTACCATCACAAGAGACGTGGAAGTATATTATGAAGGTTGAAAAGTAACCTAGTGCTGCTTTAAATTCACGTTTAATTGTATAGTGCTTTTCACAATGCAAATCGTTTCAAAGACAGAGCACTTCTGTTAAGGTGTGCCATTCCATTTTCTGCCGTTCTATTGTCTGACTTTTGTGTCCTAATGGAAAGTGAAGAGAATGAACATCAACAACTTCAGAGCATTTTCTTGTAATCATTGAGCTGCAAGTGGCAGGGTGACGATAGGCAAAGCACTTTCAGTTGACAGATGCCCACATGCATCTAATACTGACTCTTTTCACCATAATGAATACATAGTTACTGTTTAGATGTTTTCTGGACCTATTTAAAGCGATAGGTCACCCAAATATGAAAATGATGTCATCATTTTATCACCCTCATCTTGTTCCGAACCCAAAAGACTTCTGTTCTACAAATAAAGATATTTTTAATATCCTCTCAACATTTTTGTCCATCCACTGAAATTCCATGTGACCAAAAACTTAATGTATCAAAAATTGCACAAAGACATTGTGAAAGTAATCCATATGAATCAAGCGGTAATCCAGGTCTTCTGAAGAGACTTGATAAAATATTTTTATAAAAGCAAACAAACAAACATAGAAGTGGTCCGCATGACGTGTGCAATATTCTTATAAAGCCATGCAATAGTTTTGTGATCAACAGACTGAAATATGTCATTCACCAAATATATTGCTCTGCTAAAGCTCTCAAATGACATTTCCATTTCTGCATAATGCAATTTGGGGCTTTGCGATTAGTTATGAGACACGGCATTATTGACTTCAAACTTGGCACAATATGCTTGATCTCAAAAACAAACTGTTATTTAGTTTTAAGTATAAAAAGTGTGATTATTTTTACTGTAATGTGCTATGGGAACTGAAGTCAGGTAGCTGCTAAGCAATTACCAAGCT